CTAGGGTCAGCAGACCAAATCCTGATTTCTATTGTGAAGCCAAGGTAAATAAGTTGATTTAATTTTAGTTGAGAATAAGAAAAAAAGTTTGGTTTGTATTTACTCCAGGACACATTTTAAAGGTGAAATAAATGCTATGCAATTCCATGTTGCAGAAGCTATATTATGATTTTCTTATGTTTTTTCTTTGTTTTATTGACATGTTTTTTAAATTCACATTTAAAAATTTTAAACTGTCTTGTTAGAAAATATTCTTAATGTAGAAGTCTTTAAATGGTTTGAGTCCTAAAACAATATGACTATTTGTATGTGCTATTTTGAAAAAATTGCTGCATTGAAAATGATGGAGTATAAACACTATCAAACCACCATCCAAACAAAATACCTTAGCAAGTAAGATACCCTTATTTTAATTACTCCCAGTATACATCACAAAAATTCTATAACCTTCCCAAAGCAGTTGTTGGATAGTCAATTTTTTAAATTTTAGATATTATATTAATGTTAGTGTGACTGTTCCAACTATTTAATATATGAAAATAAAGGCATGCTGGTAGTGACATATTACTGAAAGGCAGGGTTGCAAAGGGGTAAGAACACCAGGTATTTGAACCAGACTTCCTTGGCTCAAATTCCAGCTCTTTCACCTAATAGTATTTGTCTTGAGCAAGCTACTAAACTGTCAAGTTCTATTGTTCCCTCATCTATGAAATGGAGATAATAGTAGTATTTACCTCATAAAGTTACTGTGAGTTAATTTATGTCAACTGCTTAGAACAGCACCAACATATAGGAAGCACACAATAGATTATTAGCAATTTGTATAATCTGTTATACTGGGAGTCACACATTTGCCTTTCAAGTATTGCATTTGTACAACTTAGAGATCCCTGGAGTCTTTAAGTTCAGGTAAGCATTGAGACTCACAAGAATATCATAGGATACACTTGGCAACCGTTCACTCCGAAAGCTATAGGACAGGAAATACATCCTTCCAGACAACAGCAGGCCTGTCTCTACAGTAGTCCTAGCAGCAGTTGCTGGCATGGCAGTTCTCGCAGGTGCTGGGAAACAACGTTTTCCCTGGGCAACAGCCCAGGTACAAGACGATGAGATTCACATCAATGGGAATGAGGTTCACTTGAGCTTATCCTCATGCAAACCTATGTCTGCTGAAGGACTTGTGACCAGAATATGGGGTCTTAGTGTAGTATAGTATAAGTACAAGACATTCTGCTGTTCTGACATAGTATAGATGAGAAACTTAGAAAATCAAAAAGGAAAAACTGGGATCTTTGTTTACCCAATGTTTCTCTTGATTACCAATAATTAAAATAGGATTTTAACAATGGTTTTCCAGCAGACAGTCCAACCTGATATAGTTATCAAGGCTTACCTCACAGAAATTAAATGTTGGCTTTTGTAAAAAGATCCAGAAGGTCTATGAACACTAGTCACATGGATGAAAAGTTGGCATTTTATCAGGAAAAAGACAATACCTTTTATAGTTATTAAGCTCCTCTGTAGCAAAGGATTGTAGACATATCTCTAAGTAAGACTGAGCCTTTTGTCTGAAGACATTCTTAGAAGTGGAAAAATTCAAACTGTAGCTTAACTGGAATCAGAGTACATATCACAGAAGAGGCATTGCAGTAAAATGAAGTAAGTTTCTTTCATGACTCTATTTAGATGGCTATAATTTGGGTTGTTACAAATGCATCTTGCACTTAAAATAAGAGCTAATTTACTGAACATAATACTTGATATTTTTTTGGATCCTCAAAAACCAACAAATAAACAAGAAACAACAAAAACCCAGAGTCAGAGCTTCCCAATTTATGTTTGGGCATAGACAATACTGAGAAAGTTGTTGTGCCATTAATAGACCAGCAAGCTCAGTTATTTTGAAACACACCAGGTTGTAAGAAAAAGCGTAGGTCACTGATATAGAAAGGGCGGCTATCTTCCTATTTACTGATTTATCTAGGATACAGGCCTTTAAATTAAGTCAAAATCCTCTTTGAAAAGTTATTTAAAACCTTCTCCCCCGTTATGAAAAGGGAGTTGGGGGGATAGGAAGCTGCTTATATGTATGAACATGCATATTTACATGTTAACTTTAGGAGGTTTGAAGGTTTTAGAAGCCGTTTTTATTTTCATTTGAAACCTTGAACTCTTCATGTCAATCAGACAGGAGTGTCACCAAATATTAGGGGAAATGGTTCCTTCTATGGTAAACATTTCAAGTTACATTTGCTAGAAGAATCTTCAGTTTGGAAAGTAATTTATAATGGTAAAAAAAAAATGGGGGACCTAAGTTTTGTAGTCTGATTACTTTACAGTTCTTTAGAGTATATTAATATTCTTTTCTTGCATAGGTACATTTGTGAAATTCAGAAAACTTTGTTTAATAAGTTGAACACAAAAGCCCTACTGTGATGCATTACCCTATTCAAATTTGCCTTTGATTTCACAGAACAAATTCTATTGAATCCTTCTCTTGAAAGTACTTCTACTTCATGAAAATAGACCTGGATAAAAAGATGTACATAATTTTTTGCAGACATAAAACTATGCAGTTATTTCCTATGAGTAGGTAGGAGCCAATGCTGGGGCCTCCAGCAAAACTCCCTACCCATTGCCTGGCTCGGATGTGACCTGGCTAGTAGCAGAGTCATGCCTCAAGCACACATAGCTCTTAGACCCAAAGATCCTCATAGAATGTCTGACAAGCTTTCCTCATGAAATAACAGTGTTCTTGTAGCAACTGCCCCAATATGTCTGCAAAACTAGTCTTCATGCTTTCCTAAAGGGATAATTTGTCCTGTGGTTATTTTTCTTTGAGTGACCCTGAGGAGTTTTACAATGGCCATTTAGGATTTTTAATATAAAAACATTTGTCAGAGACCAGCATAAAAGATCACAATGGTGCTAACAGGGCTTTGTTGATTCAGTGAGGAAAGGAGACAAGCTAGTTCCCACATTTTAAGGCATGGATTGCACTTAAACATCCTCTCTAGACTACTGGTTTATACATACCACTCATATGAAAAAATCAACAGGTAATGAAATAAATGCAGTCTATACATGACAAGATTGATGAGTCAAAAGGAGGACTGGAGAATGTAAGTTTTAGGGTAGGAGAGCCAAAGCCACTGGTGAAATCCTAAATGCTGGCAGGCCCCTGGGACCTTCTTCAGTGGCAGGCTTATGCTAACATAGAGACCTCGGAGTAAGCCACGTATTTTCATGGTTGAGAGAGAAACTTACCAAGTATCCTCAATACTACTCATGGTAATTCATAAGTTAGAAAATACTTCTTTTTATGGTGAGATTGGAAACAAATGGGATCCAGGAGGTTTTTAATGAAAATTACTAATTATTAAAGCACAGATTTTAGCCTTCAATCTGTCCATAGAGTAATGTTAATAACAAAGTGTGTCATTCTGTCAAAAGTCTAGTTTCTTTTGATTCATGAACAGATTTAGAAGCTCTAAGTGTCCTCTGAAATACATGAGTGCTTCATGAAATCCTGTTTAATGTTTGCAAAACATTTGTCATTCCTGCCACATGCACAGATTTTACATTTCTGGCTTCAGTACACAAAAAGACTTGAAGATGTATAGTTGTCTAGTATTACTGCCTTTCAAATTACATATTTTTGTTGCTACCTTTTCAAAGAATTTCAGGCTTGGCATATAATGGAGCTAATTTTTTTTTTTCCTCTGGGAAGCAGCTAGCAAGACCACTGCCCTAGACACATACCTCAGCTCACTACTTTCCTTCACTCATTTATTCTGTAGGTAAGATGAGAGTCTGCAAACTGCAAAGATAGAGTACTCAGGGTAGGCAGCTGCAGATGGCTTTTAGTAACTACAGAGCTGGTGTTTGAATCTCAACCCTGACAGCACACATCACAGGAAGGCAACAGAGAAGGCATATCTTCCTTTGTGAGTAGGTTGTAGATGACAATCTGTCAAACTAAAATAATGGAAGAAGCATTAATTGTATAAAAATGAATCAACTTAGCTTAGCTCTAAGGTATTTTCCAAGATTCTAGGAACTTTGCCCCATTTTTCCCAGAGATTGTTTTATGGACAACGCAGACAACATAACAATTAAAAACAGAATCATGTGGGAAAAGATTTCTTGTAGTAATATCATTAGTGCATCTTCATAATTAAGCAGTTTTCTCTGTCTTCACAATGTTATTAAATAATAATCAATTACTTGGTAGCCACTCTACTAGTTATTTATCCACATTATTTAAACTTAATAAGTATTTTTTCTAGTTTAATATCTGAGAAAACCAGGATGCAAATAGTTAAATGATTTGTCCAAGTTATCAAATGGCAGGCTTGGAATTTAAACCTAACTTTTATAAGCCTTGGCCTTTTCTACTTTAACACATTGCGTGATATGTTGAAAAGTTCTGTGTTTAATAAAAAAAATGTTTTAGGTAAAATTAGTTGGGAAATACTCATGAAAGTAAGTGGTATACATGTATGTATATATTCATATGTATGTATGATATTTAGCTTAAACTATAAATTCCCAGAGAGGAAGAGTTTTCAGTTGTTGTTCTTATAAAATTACTTATACATAGTATAAACTTTATTGTGGATAGTCATTTCTTAGAGAAAGGGCTTAGTATCACCCCTAAAAATAGGGAGATCCATTTCAAAGAAAGCAATGAGCATCTAGACCTTACATAGAATTTATAGAATCCATTTCACTGAAAACCAAGAGAAAGAAGTTAATCTAATATGTCATCTTAAAAGATAAAATATAGATCTATTTGTTCAGAAGATAAATGGATAAATGCCCAAATATAAATGGATAGATTGATGTAGATCATTATACATACATATATATATAAAATGGGAATTAACTCATTCAGTCATTCAAAAGTAAAGTGAAACCTTTTAGTTTCAATAATATTAAGCCTCTTTAAATGCCCGGTTGCATTCTTGAGTAATATTTCTTTTCCCCCCCTACAGTTGGACAGCGTCACCTCCCTAATCCAAGCAGCGAAAAATTTAATGAATGCTGTAGTGCAAACAGTGAAAATGTCTTACATCGCCTCAACCAAGATCATCCGAATTCAGAGTCCTACAGGGCCCCGGCACCCAGTTGTTATGTGGAGAATGAAGGCTCCTGCAAAAAAACCTTTGATTAAAAGAGAGAATCCAGAAGAAACATGTGCAGCTGTCAGACGAGGTTCAGCAAAGAAAAAAATCCACCCAGTGCAGGTCATGAGTGAATTTAGAGGAAGACATGTCTACTGAAACCACTATTCGACACTAATGTCTGTATTACAAAGTCCTGGCTAAACACACTGCTTTAATTTTATACTTGATTAGTACTATAAGTTCACTAGCTTTTAGAGTTTAATCCATGAGTAATGTAAAACATTGCGGCCTGAACCAACATGAGCAACATATATTTGGGATCATGTCATTGTCATCTCTGTAAACCTAGAAAGAAATTGATGTATGTTTGTTGAATGAATGAAAACTTCAGGTGCCATACAGCATTTCCCATCACAAAGAATATTTTACATTTATTACCAAATGAACACAGGAGATTCAAGTGAGCCTTATTCATTGGTAATAGCTTAATTACATTCACCCTTTTACCTTTAAATTAAAACATTGACATAAGCTCTTGGTTTTCAATGAAAACAAAAGACCTCATAATATATTTTTCTGTTCAATTTTCCTTTACTTGACCTGACCTGACAGAGATATGTGGTTCCTACTATGGTGAAAAAAAAATCCATCTCTACATGTCTATATCTGTTGTCAATTGATTAGGCTAACATCCATCAGAAACTAATCAAGCTTGAACAGTCAAGTTACATCCTGGATTTTTAAGATCAGCGTCGATTATTAATGAAGCAATTTATTAACATAAAGTTTACAGCGAGCTTTGATACCAAAAGTGTGCCTTTTAGAGTCCCATTGTGTTTAGCAATTTTGCACATTGAGAATTGGTTTTAAATAGATTCATTGTAATTCAGTCATGGAGGAGGAGTTATTACCCCCTTGGTGAAACGAGACATCTAACTATGTCCCTGAGTGAATTGTGCCAACAGAAGTGTATGTAGCTCTGCATGACTCTAAAAATTCATTTTTATCAGCCTGCAATTATAATTAAAAGGAAAAGACCAGTTTGACAAACATTTGGCATTGAGTAAAATACAAACCATGTAAATTGTATCATTGAATTATGAAGAAGAGTTAATGGCAATGAAGCTGGAATGATGTTTAATAACATTCTTTTAAATAAAAGTCATTGAGGTTTTTTTAAAAACACTGTGCTCGCTATGCACAGTCCCAGTCACTGTGCTCACCCCTAGCTGAGTTTGTAATGAACTTCATAATACAGAGTCTTTTTTTATTCTTTGGAGGATTTGAATTTCAGTTTCACTTTTTCTCACACATAGAGTTCCCATTCACAGAATTATTTTTATTGTTGTTCAAGTATAATTGTCCTCAATTTCCTCCCACAACTCCCCTCCACCCACTCCACCCCCACCTCCCACCCTCGAACCAGCCCCTTTGGCTTTGTCCATGTGTCCTTTATACATGTTCCTTGATGGCCCTTCCCCTATTCACTGAATTTTAAATGTGTTCCCTATTAAAATGATACTATAATTGTAACTGAACTTTGTACAACAATATCATTAATGAGTTGTTTTAACAACCACGGTCATCTTCATTTAATGAAGTAAAATTCAAATGTGCAACAGGAACTGATGATAGGATGACCAGTCTGGATAGGATGACCAGTCTGAGTGTAAGAGTGTGTGAAACATAAAATTCATAAAAGTTGAGAGCATGATGTACATGGTGTCTTGAGCAAAATGGTATGGGAAAAACATTTATTTCATAGGCTATCATTAATTGTGGGAAAATGTTAACTCTCTTTTATCCTAATACATTATTTTATTATATAACATGGGGTTGCCAAGCACATGGACTTCCCAGGAGGTAAAAGCAATAAGCTCCTCCCTGTCCTGAACTGTGCATTGGTCCACAATAATTATTCTGTACAGAGTCCATAAAGAGAAGGCAGTGCAAAAGAGAATTAAGAAATTCAGATAATTCTGTGTTCCAGAACTATCTAGATAAATAAGGCAAAATAGAGACTTTTCGTTCATTGAAATTGTACCATGATTTTCTGCTCTAAGAGTAGACACTACAAGACTAACATCTATGACATGTCCTTTTCTCAGGCAGAAGTAAAAAATTATCATTGATTTGAGAAAATAAATTTTTAAGATATCACCATACTTGTAGCTGCACATCTTAGTTCTTAAAGCCTCATGCTCAAGAATCACAGGAGCCCAGTTTAGAAAATCTAATATCCATTTGATCCTGCGTCAGCTTTCCACAGGTTGGAATTTAAAAGGAAGCATTAAGTACTGAAAGAACAGAAAAAACTTGAAATTATTCAATTACCAAATAACCCCTATATCTTTAAAAAACAATGACTCTTCACACAAAATGAGATGTGAACAAGGCCTCCTCTTCAAAGGAGGTAGATTTCCAGCTTAGCTCAAAGTAAACAACTTACAATTAAACAAAATTTAATTAAAAAATAACTTGGAAAATATCCCAGGAGTAAAGTCTGCTGTAGAAATCAAAGGAGTAATAAGAACAGGATGCATGGAGCTGAGAAAAGCATCTGTCCACCTGAGTGAATTTTTTGCAGTTGGCAACATTTCAAGATTTAGTCCATTTCAAATCTTCTAATGGTATAAGTGCTTATACACAAGAAAAATTAACAGCAAAAATATTAATGCATCTTTGCATTATAAAGCATAATTAAATAAAGCTAATCAGTAAATATGAATGTATGAGATACATTTATATTTAAGCACTCTTCTATAGGGGAATGGCAGAACTTTAATGAGAAGGATACCTTGGTGGTCCACCTACACACCTTTTCAAATCACATCATAGAGACTAGTGTTTCTTCTGATGATACAGTTGCTTTTTCCTGCTAATCAGAACTCACCTTTGTCTTTTAGTAAATCAATTTATGGAGAAAACAAAAAAATCTTTGAAAGAGAGAGGAAATTTTAGACCACCTACACGGGTAATTTCACCCTCCTTTGCCACCAGAATCACTCTCAAACATTAAAATGGAATCAGAATGATGTTAGAAAATATCCATGAAATCATAATCCACTAAAGATTCTTCTAATTGTAAAAACTAAAGGTTTTCATCACACATGAAAGACAAGACATATAAATTTCTCCCTGTTATATATTACAAGTGAAAATTAATTGGATTAAAATATCTGCTTCTCCCTAATAGGTCCTCTGGGTTATAACCCAATGAATAGGTCAGGAAAAAAATTTAAGCAATAAATGTCTACAGTAATATGCTACTTATCCCATTTTTGTTTGCCTTATAAGGTGAGTGAAAACTATAAAGGTGTAAGAAAACACAACACTCTTAAAGCCTTCTGGCTTTTGCAAATTGCTTAATTTATTAGTATTAATATAAATATATATCCCTCATAAAATCCTTCTGTTTAAGGGGTAAGAACCACCACAGCTACACAAAAAGACCCATTCTCACACACTTAACAGCTTCAAAGGAAATCACTTTTCAAGTCATACGACAGCAAGATAGTGACTACACAGTTAAGTGCCCAATTTGGGCCTCAAACCCAATCATTAGTGCTCCTCAAATTCAGCAATGCATGGCTGAAAAAACTAATGTCTGAGACCAGAGAAAATATTTTCAGGAGCTTTATACACCTTCACTTTCAGGATAGATCTCTCGTCTCACCCACCCCTGGGCTAGGTATCTTCCTAGTAACTCCTGATACTTTTCCAACAGAATGACACAGTCAGGATTGCTCTTCCCAGTCAGTTATTCCAATTAATGTCCTTTCGCCCTGGTCCATGCACCAAAATTATCTCTCATCTCCTTAGGTGTCTATGCCACACACAAATTAAAAAATATATTCTGTAGTGTTCTAATTAAACTTATGAATTTTAATTTTTAGCACTATTATTCCTGTGTTTGTTCTTTTTTAAAAATCTATTCCAGGAAGCATTCTTATTCTTTTCGGTGTAAAATGCACACTTCCATCCTAGGGATTGTGGTTCCCATGGATACAGATTTCTGTGTGGTAGAGGCAGAATGAGTGGAATAAGATCTAAGACTTTTCCTTGTGTATTTGTCAATCTCTGGTGAACTCACTGCAGAATTGCCAGCTTGTTTCAGTATCATTTTAAGAATTCTTCAGGTCAGCAAAGCAGGTATCAGAATATCAAGTTGAATGAAATCTGCACTTTCTTTTGTCAGCTTGTCTTCTGCCAACCAACCTTGCTATTGCATATTGAGAAATCAAATAGCTATTTTTTGGTTTGAGAAAGTCAGAAATATTTGTTTGACTTGATCAGAAAATGTAGGGGCACCCAGTTAAAAGACAGTAACTTGCATATTATTTTAATAATTCTTTTTAAGCAAGCTTGAAAATTTCTGCAACTTGGGAACCTTTATTTATATATCATTTTTATTTGTATATCACATACCACAAATCAACACTTATTCAGATGAAAAGCCTATGTCATTTCTTTTGTCATAATTCGTTGTCCATACCATTATGATATCTTCAGTATTAGTATTTTACATGTCACTACCAAATACATAAGCCAAGCTTAATGACAGAAGCATCTACACACAAAGTAGTTTTAAGTTTTCATTGGGCCCTTTGTTTCTATTAGGAAAAAAATGTGGATGTTTTTAAAGTCAAGTGTGTGCAACTACAGCTGTCCTTATTAAGGTTGTAACATTATTCTACACATCTAAATGAGAGTGAGGAGGATTAAAATTTTAAATTATTTTTTGTCCTTTTTAACCAAGTTGCATGAACGAAAATATTTTCTATGAAAGCAAAAGAAATAATAGTTTACAGCATTAGTCATTTCCTATGTGCATAATTTTTTTCTTACACAACATAATAGATAGGAACTAAAACTGGACAATTCAAAAGAAGATAACTGACACTAACTGAAAACACCATTTCCAAATGGAATTGAATATTACCAGAAACATGTCTACAGGCAGTGATGATTTGTAGGGCTGGCCTTTATGCAGATATCAGGATAAGATGTTTCATGGCTGCAAGCTGGCTGTATCATCCAATGGTCCCCATTGGTTTATGGAAACAAGCACAAAGATTGACTTTTAAAATGAATTTGACAAGTCAGAGAAAAGCAGTAAATACAGAGCATTTCTAAAGAAAAATGGGTAAGAAAGT